TTGTATGAACTCGTGATTAGGGAGAAGCCTTCTTGAAAGGTACTTTAGAGAGTGGCATTAACAATGATGATTTGAATGTTGAATTCCTAAAATATATGAGAGTGGATAAGATGAAATTGACCCCCAACAACATATTCATACATAAATTTCATTGAAAGTGTTTATCTTTTGATTTTTGCCATTGATCAAAACTTCATGCATACATATTTAATTTTCGTCTTTTGCATATAAAATCCAAATATTTTGTCTTTAAGTCTTAGCTAATCAAGAAACCACACAACTAAGCTAGGCCGTGAGTCCTTTGGGAAGAACGATACTTGGTCTCACCAAGTTTATTACTTGAACGATTCGGTCATACTTGCCGATTGAAAAACAAGTTTGTGACATCATATTTTGGTGTTCATAAATTTGTCCATCAACCAAGTCTAGGCCAACTCAATCCAAACTGACCTAACCTTGATTGGGCTAGGTTGGACCTGGTCTTGATCAAACTAGGGTTGACCTAATCCTAACCCAACTCATTTGAATGTGGGTTAGCCCAAACTCCAATGAACATGGATCATCTGTAACTCGACTGAATGTGAGCTTGACCTAACTTAGCTCAATTCATGCCCAAACTGACTTGACTTGACCTAGGCTCGGGACTAACTCGACTCAATCTGAGTTTGAGTCGACTCAATTCAACACGAGTCCAACAAAGATTGGCTTCACCTAGCATTGAATCAGCTCTACATGACTTGAGTCCAACCAACTCAACTTGATCGAGACTTGAGCCAAGACTAACTCGACTCAATCTTAGATGTAGTCTATTTGGCTTGACTTTAACTTGGGAAGACTCGACTTGACCTTGGATGGCCTAATCTAATGCTATCTTACTTGGGTTTGGCCTGATATAAGATTTCGTAACTTGAAAATAATCTTGTTTAACTTGAATTAAGAATAGGTTTTGCAAATATAAAATAAAACACAAATAACATCAATCAAGATGACTACAAAAAATGATCGATATTGATAATTTTTAAGGGTTAAATATGTTTTTAATTTTTGAATTTTAACGTGAAATTGGAATTTGTCCCTATATGAAACTTTAATACATTCAATTATGATATTTTTTTTTGCATGTCAAACATGTTTCTCAACTAATATTGAAGCGAGAACATATCAAAAGGTTATAAACTCAAATACTAGCATGAAACTCATTTGACACATTAAAAAAAATTTAATGTTAGGTTAAAAGGATTATATCCATTTCGAATTCCAATTTTTCATCAAAGTTTAAAGACTAAAAACATACTTAATATTTTTCATTCATCTCAATATAAGTTTTTGAATTTGATAATAATTAAAATATTTTATCCGAACACGAACATTAAAATTCATGAAGTTATCTTATCCAAACAAAACATTTAAAATTTTTAATATATTTAAATATCTTAAAAATTAGGCTTAAATGCTTACTTCGTTAAGAGGTGAATTTCTGTTTAGTACCCAGTTTTAAAAATGAAGACATTAAGTCCCTATGTTATGAAAAGTGTATGAATAAGGTCATATCCGTTAAATTGATAGCAACGACGTTAAGCTCATGCTGATGTGGCCGTACTTTTTCTCTTCTTTCTTCTGCTATCTAACTTTTTCTATCTCTTGTTCAGCTTTTTCTTTGATGATTTGTTGAACTTGTTCTTTCTTTGTGGACCTTCTTCATATATTTTTCATAATATCGGGACCCAATGTCTTCATTTTTAAAACCGGGTACTAAACAGAAATTCACCTCTTAACATGGGGACGAAATAAGCATTTAAGCCTAAAAATTATAAATTTTCTTATCCAGATAAATGTTCCTTGTGGCATTAAAATTCTCATAGATAGATGGGTTATTGTGAAATGTAAAAAAACAGTGATAAATGTAAGTGGTGATAAGGGAGAGAAGTCAAAATCAAATACAATAAGTCTTTTTAAAATAAAAGCAGTAATAAATAATATGTATTGAATATGGTTTAAAAATTATTTTAACATCAATTAAAATATATTTTTTAAATAATTAAATTTAAAATATTAAAAAGTGAATTTTAAGCTTAATTCAATTCTATAAAATTAAACTTCTAATATTAAGTTTACACTCAGTTATATATTTTGAATTGATATTAATAGATATTTCGATAATAGATATTCATAAAGAAAAACTTTAACTTATAACTCTAATATCATTTTAAAAAATAGATTTTAAGTTTAACTCAACTTTACAAAACTAACTAATAATATGAGATTTATATTATTTATATATTTGAATTGACCTTAATCGTGACTACTCCTAAAATCATAAAACTCCTTACTACCTTAATCACGTTTAAGATTTTCTTTTAGTTCCAAAATTTTGATTGTTTTAAAAATTCAATACTTACTATTTCTATTATTTCTAAGTGAAAATAGTATGGAAAATTGTTTTGTGAGAGAAAAAATGTAGTTGAAAATAATATAGAAATGGAAAAAGAAGTTGAAGATAAGAGAAATGGGAAATGAAGTAAAGGTACAGCAGTTTTAAAAAACTAATAAGAATCACAATCACAGTCCGAATGTAAAGCATGTTCATGTAAAGCATGTTCACATTCATAATCTCAATCTCAAAAGAAAGGAACAATGAGCTCAACTAACTTACTTCAAATTGAAACTTCTTTTGGTAGACTAAAACAAGATCATAGGTACTCTATCAATGATTGATAAAAGATAAAAGGTAATCTTCCAATATATCTTCTTTAGCATTTTCCTAGTTCTTTATAAAGAAATACAAAAATACTTTCAATACTTACCATAGAAAACAAGGATGATTTAGAATCATTCTTCTTCCAAAGCATCAAAACATCAAGTCATACAAACTAACTTGTAGGATAAAAATGCATGTCTGTACTTTTCATTCTGTCAGTTCCCACAAGAGATAATCTGTCATCATAGGCATCAATGTGTCCAAATGCATTTGTACCAAGAGGACATTCCAAAGCGGCTTCAATAATTCTATGGTGTATCCCATGAGAATCAATAGAGTATCCTCCTTTATGATAATGTCCAGCAAGACATACCTTAACACAGTTGTATCTATGTATCAAATTCATTGCTTCATCATAATTCCACAACAGTCCCTTCTCACTTGCTGCACCGGCATCTAAAGGCAGATGGCAACAAACAACAACCTTCTGCTTCTTTTTTGTTGCTTCCAGGAGAACACCATCCAACCATTCCATCTGTTCCCTTCCAATGCCTCCATTGAACATGAGAAATCTTCTTTCAAGCCCCTCCATACCCGTTGGACTATTTTTATTTTCATTTGGGTTTTTCTCCCTTAGGATTTTCATGGCCTCCAATGTTTTGGGATGATCTTGTGGCCAACCAATGGCACTGATGTCATAGGCATCCAGAACTACAAATCTATATTCAGGCACCGGTGAAAAATCATAGTATGCACGGCCATCAAGACTTTGGATCTTCAATAACGGAAGCAACTGGCTGCGAGGGAGATTGTATAGGCAGTGATTTCCAATCATATGATACACAGGTCCCCCCTTGAACTTCTCAAATTCGTCCACAACTTTCTGTACAGCACCAAGAGATTGATCTTTGGGACAAAACCCATCAACAATATCTCCAAAATTGATCACAAACTTATGCTTTTGGTGAGTGTTCCATTCTTTAACTGCTCTCTGCAACACAAGAATGCTGTGCCTATAATACCGTGGAACACCAAGGAATGAGCGACCATCAGGAATATCAGCATATTGGACATCCGTAATCAATCCAAAAGAAAAAAGTGGCTGTGTAGTAGTAAGTCCACTAGAAGAAAGTACCATGTCTCTCTACCTGATCCTGTCATACATTTAACATTTATAGTCATCAAAGTATTACACTCCAAGAGCAATCTGATCTAAAGTCAAACAAAAAGGAACGTATTATCTCATTATCAGCCCCAGAAATTATTCAAAGAACTAGAAGAGAGAAAATACACAACACAAGCCAAAAAACAACCGTATTGCTGGGCTGCTAACTTGGCCGGTTTTAAATTATCTGAATCCTGACATTTTCTTATCAAAACAAGAGTAGTTTCACCCTCGTACCCGTTACACAGGGCCAATGATTCTAATGATTGAAAGCCAAAGCTACAGGTATATGAGATGAACAAGCTCTCTTTTTCTTTCCCATTTGAGTGGATACAAAGTTGAGGTCCTAACTCCGGAGGATGACTAGGAAAGAGAGTTTCAGAAGATGAAAAAAGTTAGTGGCTAAAAAATACGATGAAAGAAACAGGTATTCTTTTCAGTTCAACGAATTAGGGTTCATCACCAAATAATTCACGAGAAAGGGCGGTATGAGAAGCAAAAATTTGAATTTGAATGTGAGTCGTTGTATTTGAGTTCCTATTATCTGCTAGCTGCATCAATGTCATCAAGTCATGGATTTTGCTTCCAGTTCTTCCCTAATTGTGTATATGGTATCAGATTAAGGTTCAAGCAGAACAGAATTGTTTGCAATGTCTCAAGAAAAAAACACCTAGTAGAATCTACCATCACCAGTCAAATTCACGGTTAAGCACAATTCAGCTAGAACAGGAAACCCAGGTGCTAGAAATGGCTATATTCAGTATATTGCCTCAAGGATTTTGATTTAACCATAATGTTAGAAACCTTTTTGTGGTTTGGATTAAATTTTAGTATTTACGTGACAATCTAGACTCGTGAACAAATGTGATTGTGAAATTTGAGGCTTATGAAGGATAGCAATAGAGATTGAGATTCCCAAAATGCCCAAATTGCATTAAGAAAATGAGACCCTGTGAGTGACCTTGCTATGCGGACAGAGATAAGTGATTTTTGCAAAGAAAGAATGAAGAAATTGGTTTGGGTGAGTGAAAAAAGGTAAGAGAGGGATCAGAGAGACGTACAGGTTAAGTGTTTGTTGAAAACGGAGAAGCTGCAAAACGCGAGACACCAATGCCAACGCCAATAGATACAGAGAACTTCCAGTATGCTATAATAAATAAACACGTTTGTAAAATCAAAACTTTATCCTGTACTTTCAGTAACATGCTCATTTACTTCCACGCACAATTTTAAAATGATTCCCTTTTCACATGAAAGTAAATTTGTTCTTTTGATCCAGTAATTACACATTAAATATGAAGATAGTTTTAAACAATTTGAGATATCTTTTAAAATAAAATGGTGACAAATATTTTAAACTTTAAAATGGACATTTTAAATGTAATCATTCATTCTAAGATTATAGCTTAATGAACTTAATATGTTAATTTCTAATTCTTAAGTTAATCATGTTTGTTAGTAATTGATAAGTTTTGAAATAATTAATTCGTGGATGAATGTAAACGACACAATTATAATATAAAATTTTGGTTTTTTAAATTAAAAATATATTATTACCTAATTATTATTCTATATCTTTTTAAAATAATTAATTTTTTCTTTTTATTTTATTTTAATTTTTTTCTTTGAATAAGTCCTTTTATCTAAACTAGTTGTACCATACGGACCGGGCGGTCCATAGAGCAGTGTCGACATCAACCTAACCGTTGACGTTTCTTCAATCTTTTTTATTGTGCTATCTGTCTCTCACTCACGACACTCAAATTCCTTTTTCCTTCGAGTTTGGTCCTCTCATAGCATTGCTAGACAGCTTGCATAAACACTGACTGCGTACTGTTCTACTCGATCAGTCATCCTTTCACTCGGGTGAGTAATAACCATGTACCGTACGGACCGAGCGGTCCAAAGGGAGCAACGCTGAATCGATTTAACGGAACTGTTGTACAAGATCAACCGGTAGGTGAACTGATTCATTAAAATCATGATTAAGGTAAATAGTGATTAGATCCATTGGGCTAGAATTGGGCCGTGATTAACTTTTCACTAATCCCAAGCCTATGACGAAAACTATAAATATAGGTCAAAGGTAAGTGATAGATAGGTTGCATTTACTGCACGTTTATTACTGTTCTATTGAATTACCGAACGGTTCGTATACTGACTTTGGCATCGGAGGATCTTTGACAGGTTCCCTCTCGGACGGAAGAGCAAGACAACGGAGCTTGGAGCGAGACCAAACGACAAGAAGGCGAAATTGTGAGGGAGTTTGGTGACTCAGCCCCATAACCGAAACACTAGTAATATTAGTCAATTTTTGTTTAAATTATTTTGATTAATTATTAGTTTTTATTTATTTATTTAAAGCATTGTTACATTAATTTTCAATTTTTAAGGAATTTCTAAATGCATATGGCTTAACTAAGCTCAAAGTGAATCTATGTTGCTCTATGATCGTGAATATGTGTTTAGATTCTAATTTGGAGCTTTATTATTATAGTTAGGTCATCTTGTAATAGATAGAACTCTAAGGAGTACTTGTGAGAAAGTGGAGAATTTTACAAAGGTAAAGGGAGCTAATGTATAATAATTTTTGCATGTTAATTTCTACTCTCTTGATTGATGGTTGGTACTATGTAGATTGATTGTTGAATCGGTGTAATTTCATTTGCTGATTTGGTTGAATTTAGAAAAACTGTGTGAATAGGTTAATTTGGGGTTTTTAAGTTGTAAATCTAGTATTTAAGTCGTGATTTTTGGGATTTACATTGTGAACTAGTACTTGATAATGTGGAAAAATACTAGAAGAGAGGTTGAATAATGTTTTTTTGAAAACTTTTTGCGTGTGATGCTTAACAACTTTGGTGGTTGCTAAACGATTTATGCAAGTTGTTAGACGTTTGATTTGTAATATACTGTATAAAAGCAAAGCGTTCAGAGCTCAAGGCTTTTCAGGCACTTCGCAAATCTACTCCATTGCTTGCAATTGATAGCTCTCGAAGACCATGGTGTTTGGCAATAGGAGCATTTGACAAAGGTTGACTTGTGTGACCAAGTGTAGCATTTATAAGTAGGATGTTTGTAAAGCTAAGACAATATGTACATTTATATTGGTTCATTCAACTAAGCTATGTCCAGTTCTCCTTTAAAAACCTTTTAGAAGGTTTCATTATATTTTCAATAAGGTTACACTTGAGTATTTGTACCACTCATGGTTTTCACATACACCACCTAGAACAAAGTTTCACGCACTCCTAGTTATGCAGTATTATTCACCACTCTTGATATTCCTAGACAATTCTGGTATCTTCCTGATATATTATCTAGTTGAGTATTAAAGTCACTCACGGTTTCCCTAATCTATCCTAATAACATCTATTACACTGACTAAGTATCACATATTCTTGGTTGTGTAGTATTCTTCACCACCCTCGATATCCCTAAACAGTCCCAGTATCTTCCTGACATGTTGTCTAGTTAAGTATTAAAATCATTTCTGGCTAATTCTACACATGAGTGATTTACCTTGTTATACTTTTTGTATGAGATGTGACCATGGGATGGTGAGGATGTGACCATGTGATGGTGAGCATGTGGTCATGGGATGACGAGGACTTTTGAAAGGCAAGAGTGAGTATAATTGGTGCAAGGTCTCAGATTTTAATCAATAAACAAAATCTTTAGGATGTTGTGTCTAATGTATGATGAATATGGAAACACCACGAGAGACCTTATAGCTGTAGTATTTTCTTGATTTGTACTATAAATTTGATGTATGAAAACAAATATATGTATAATATTTTATTATGGTCCATAATGTAGAACAGTTAGTATAATTTTAATAACTCTAGCTTACCTTTTTTTTTATTGTATGTGTTATGATTTATCCACCTATAATGATCATATATTATACATGAGTGTAGAGGATAGTACATATAAGGATTCTCAACAATAAAATATTCCAGAAGTGACATAGATAGAAGTGGGTTGCATATGTATAATTTCTTTTATATATTACACATTTTCTTCAAATTTGAAATACACTTATATTTATATTTATGAAAACTTTATTATGTAACTTGTAAAGAATATTATAATACATAGGTCATATCATTTGTAGTTATTTTATTTAATATCAAATTTGAAATACTCGAAATTGAGTGTTACACGAACCCAAAATCAATTTTCTTTTTCGTTATCTTTTTTCTTTAACAAAGATTTTTTTTAACCCCAATTTCAACTATATTTTCACTTAAGTTTGGAAATTTTCCTTAAACGATTTTGAGCTAGTTTTTTCTTTTTCGAATTTTTTATTATTTATTTATTTATTTTTCTTTTTTTAGATTGTATTTGAATGTCTGTTATAATTATAAAATAATTATTCATATATATATAATTTGGGATTTTATTTAAATAGATTATATTCTATGAAAATAATTATAGAAAATGATAAGAATTTCATAAATTAATGTTTGATTTGTAAGAGTGTTACCTATATAAATCTTTCACATTTTTGTCTAAATAGTATAGATTAATATTTGATAATGAAAAGTTGAGGGGTATGATATTTGTTGAATGTTTTTAATGTATATTCATGTACTCTACTAAAATAAGTTTTGCATGCAATTCGAGTAAATATGAATATAAATATAAGTAAAAGAAATGAAATTTATTTATAATTCTTATTTATTTTTCTATTTAAAATGCTTTGTATAAATCTATTTGCAGTTATATATATATTTAAAATGCTATATAAATGCTTTGTATAGTTTTGTGAGGTTTTAGCCATTTCATTTTTTTAATTGAGTGGTATTCTTTCTTTTTAATAATTTGTTTTTAAAATTACTTACTATTTTGTTTCAGTTAAAATAACAAGAGTCAACTTATTATTTTTTTAAAATAGCATTTATATTATTAAATTTTAGAAATAAAACTTTAAAATGCAGTTAATGGGAGTAACTTATTGTTGCATACCATTAACTGTTTGAATTAGACATTTACCCGTAAATTTAAGAAAATTAAATGCTACAATTAACGTACAAATAAATAAATTCAAAACTTGTAGCTTCTTGAGCGTTTCATTTAATACATTTATTGCTTTAAAAACCCATTAACTTCTATAGTTATTAAAAATACTTAAATGTGGAGAATATTTAGTTTTCTATAGAGAAATAAAAGCAACTTTACAGGCAATTCTGTTTAAATAAAATAAGACAGTGAATAACTCTATTAAATATTTGATATAACNGATAATGTCCAGCAAGACATACCTTAACACAGTTGTATCTATGTATCAAATTCATTGCTTCATCATAATTCCACAACAGTCCCTTCTCACTTGCTGCACCGGCATCTAAAGGCAGATGGCAACAAACAACAACCTTCTGCTTCTTTTTTGTTGCTTCCAGGAGAACACCATCCAACCATTCCATCTGTTCCCTTCCAATGCCTCCATTGAACATGAGAAATCTTCTTTCAAGCCCCTCCATACCCGTTGGACTATTTTTATTTTCATTTGGGTTTTTCTCCCTTAGGATTTTCATGGCCTCCAATGTTTTGGGATGATCTTGTGGCCAACCAATGGCACTGATGTCATAGGCATCCAGAACTACAAATCTATATTCAGGCACCGGTGAAAAATCATAGTATGCACGGCCATCAAGACTTTGGATCTTCAATAACGGAAGCAACTGGCTGCGAGGGAGATTGTATAGGCAGTGATTTCCAATCATATGATACACAGGTCCCCCCTTGAACTTCTCAAATTCGTCCACAACTTTCTGTACAGCACCAAGAGATTGATCTTTGGGACAAAACCCATCAACAATATCTCCAAAATTGATCACAAACTTATGCTTTTGGTGAGTGTTCCATTCTTTAACTGCTCTCTGCAACACAAGAATGCTGTGCCTATAATACCGTGGAACACCAAGGAATGAGCGACCATCAGGAATATCAGCATATTGGACATCCGTAATCAATCCAAAAGAAAAAAGTGGCTGTGTAGTAGTAAGTCCACTAGAAGAAAGTACCATGTCTCTCTACCTGATCCTGTCATACATTTAACATTTATAGTCATCAAAGTATTACACTCCAAGAGCAATCTGATCTAAAGTCAAACAAAAAGGAACGTATTATCTCATTATCAGCCCCAGAAATTATTCAAAGAACTAGAAGAGAGAAAATACACAACACAAGCCAAAAAACAACCGTATTGCTGGGCTGCTAACTTGGCCGGTTTTAAATTATCTGAATCCTGACATTTTCTTATCAAAACAAGAGTAGTTTCACCCTCGTACCCGTTACACAGGGCCAATGATTCTAATGATTGAAAGCCAAAGCTACAGGTATATGAGATGAACAAGCTCTCTTTTTCTTTCCCATTTGAGTGGATACAAAGTTGAGGTCCTAACTCCGGAGGATGACTAGGAAAGAGAGTTTCAGAAGATGAAAAAAGTTAGTGGCTAAAAAATACGATGAAAGAAACAGGTATTCTTTTCAGTTCAACGAATTAGGGTTCATCACCAAATAATTCACGAGAAAGGGCGGTATGAGAAGCAAAAATTTGAATTTGAATGTGAATCATTGTATTTGAGTTCCTATTATCTGCTAGCTGCATCAATGTCATCAAGTCATGGATTTTGCTTCCAGTTCTTCCCTAATTGTGTATATGGTATCAGATTAAGGTTCAAGCAGAACAGAATTGTTTGCAATGTCTCAAGAAAAAAACACCTAGTAGAATCTACCATCACCAGTCAAATTCACGGTTAAGCACAATTCAGCTAGAACAGGAAACCCAGGTGCTAGAAATGGCTATATTCAGTATATTGCCTCAAGGATTTTGATTTAACCATAATGTTAGAAACCTTTTTGTGGTTTGGATTAAATTTTAGTATTTACGTGACAATCTAGACTCGTGAACAAATGTGATTGTGAAATTTGAGGCTTATGAAGGATAGCAATAGAGATTGAGATTCCCAAAATGCCCAAATTGCATTAAGAAAATGAGACCCTGTGAGTGACCTTGCTATGCGGACAGAGATAAGTGATTTTTGCAAAGAAAGAATGAAGAAATTGGTTTGGGTGAGTGAAAAAAGGTAAGAGAGGGATAAGAGAGACGTACAGGTTAAGTGTTTGTTGAAAACGGAGAAGCTGCAAAACGCGAGACACCAATGCCAACGCCAATAGATACAGAGAACTTCCAGTATGCTATAATAAATAAACACGTTTGTAAAATCAAAACTTTATCCTGTACTTTCAGTAACATGCTCATTTACTTCCACGCACAATTTTAAAATGATTCCCTTTTCACATGAAAGTAAATTTGTTCTTTTGATCCAGTAATTACACATTAAATATGAAGATAGTTTTAAACAATTTGAGATATCTTTTAAAATAAAATGGTGACAAATATTTTAAACTTTAAAATGGACATTTTAAATGTAATCATTCATTCTAAGATTATAGCTTAATGAACTTAATATGTTAATTTCTAATTCTTAAGTTAATCATGTTTGTTAGTAATTGATAAGTTTTGAAATAATTAATTCGTGGATGAATGTAAACGACACAATTATAATATAAAATTTTGGTTTTTTAAATTAAAAATATATTATTACCTAATTATTATTCTATATCTTTTTAAAATAATTAATTTTTTCTTTTTATTTTATTTTAATTTTTTTCTTTGAATAAGTCCTTTTATCTAAACTAGTTGTACCATACGGACCGGGCGGTCCATAGAGCAGTGTCGACATCAACCTAACCGTTGACGTTTCTTCAATCTTTTTTATTGTGCTATCTGTCTCTCACTCACGACACTCAAATTCCTTTTTCCTTCGAGTTTGGTCCTCTCATAGCATTGCTAGACAGCTTGCATAAACACTGACTGCGTACTGTTCTACTCGATCAGTCATCCTTTCACTCGGGTGAGTAATAACCATGTACCGTACGGACCGAGCGGTCCAAAGGGAGCAACGCTGAATCGATTTAACGGAACTGTTGTACAAGATCAACCGGTAGGTGAACTGATTCATTAAAATCATGATTAAGGTAAATAGTGATTAGATCCATTGGGCTAGAATTGGGCCGTGATTAACTTTTCACTAATCCCAAGCCAATGACGAAAACTATAAATATAGGTCAAAGGTAAGTGATAGATAGGTTGCATTTACTGCACGTTTATTACTGTTCTATTGAATTACCGAACGGTTCGTATACTGACTTTGGCATCGGAGGATCTTTGACAGGTTCCCTCTCGGACGGAAGAGCAAGACAACGGAGCTTGGAGCGAGACCAAACGACAAGAAGGCGAAATTGTGAGGGAGTTTGGTGACTCAGCCCCATAACCGAAACACTAGTAATATTAGTCAATTTTTGTTTAAATTATTTTGATTAATTATTAGTTTTTATTTATTTATTTAAAGCATTGTTACATTAATTTTCAATTTTTAAGGAATTTCTAAATGCATATGGCTTAACTAAGCTCAAAGTGAATCTATGTTGCTCTATGATCGTGAATATGTGTTTAGATTCTAATTTGGAGCTTTATTATTATAGTTAGGTCATCTTGTAATAGATAGAACTCTAAGGAGTACTTGTGAGAAAGTGGAGAATTTTACAAAGGTAAAGGGAGCTAATGTATAATAATTTTTGCATGTTAATTTCTACTCTCTTGATTGATGGTTGGTACTATGTAGATTGATTGTTGAATCGGTGTAATTTCATTTGCTGATTTGGTTGAATTTAGAAAAACTGTGTGAATAGGTTAATTTGGGGTTTTTAAGTTGTAAATCTAGTATTTAAGTCGTGATTTTTGGGATTTACATTGTGAACTAGTACTTGATAATGTGGAAAAATACTAGAAGAGAGGTTGAATAATGTTTTTTTGAAAACTTTTTGCGTGTGATGCTTAACAACTTTGGTGGTTGCTAAACGATTTATGCAAGTTGTTAGACGTTTGATTTGTAATATACTGTATAAAAGCAAAGCGTTCAGAGCTCAAGGCTTTTCAGGCACTTCGCAAATCTACTCCATTGCTTGCAATTGATAGCTCTCGAAGACCATGGTGTTTGGCAATAGGAGCATTTGACAAAGGTTGACTTGTGTGACCAAGTGTAGCATTTATAAGTAGGATGTTTGTAAAGCTAAGACAATATGTACATTTATATTGGTTCATTCAACTAAGCTATGTCCAGTTCTCCTTTAAAAACCTTTTAGAAGGTTTCATTATATTTTCAATAAGGTTACACTTGAGTATTTGTACCACTCATGGTTTTCACATACACCACCTAGAACAAAGTTTCACGCACTCCTAGTTATGCAGTATTATTCACCACTCTTGATATTCCTAGACAATTCTGGTATCTTCCTGATATATTATCTAGTTGAGTATTAAAGTCACTCACGGTTTCCCTAATCTATCCTAATAACATCTATTACACTGACTAAGTATCACATATTCTTGGTTGTGTAGTATTCTTCACCACCCTCGATATCCCTAAACAGTCCCAGTATCTTCCTGACATGTTGTCTAGTTAAGTATTAAAATCATTTCTGGCTAATTCTACACATGAGTGATTTACCTTGTTATACTTTTTGTATGAGATGTGACCATGGGATGGTGAGGATGTGACCATGTGATGGTGAGCATGTGGTCATGGGATGACGAGGACTTTTGAAAGGCAAGAGTGAGTATAATTGGTGCAAGGTCTCAGATTTTAATCAATAAACAAAATCTTTAGGATGTTGTGTCTAATGTATGATGAATATGGAAACACCACGAGAGACCTTATAGCTGTAGTATTTTCTTGATTTGTACTATAAATTTGATGTATGAAAACAAATATATGTATAATATTTTATTATGGTCCATAATGTAGAACAGTTAGTATAATTTTAATAACTCTAGCTTACCTTTTTTTTTATTGTATGTGTTATGATTTATCCACCTATAATGATCATATATTATACATGAGTGTAGAGGATAGTACATATAAGGATTCTCAAAAATAAAATATTCCAGAAGTGACATAGATAGAAGTGGGTTGCATATGTATAATTTCTTTTATATATTACACATTTTCTTCAAATTTGAAATACACTTATATTTATATTTATGAAAACTTTATTATGTAACTTGTAAAGAATATTATAATACATAGGTCATATCATTTGTAGTTATTTTATTTAATATCAAATTTGAAATACTCGAAATTGAGTGTTACACGAACCCAAAATCAATTTTCTTTTTCGTTATCTTTTTTCTTTAACAAAGATTTTTTTTAACCCCAATTTCAACTATATTTTCACTTAAGTTTGGAAATTTTCCTTAAACGATTTTGAGCTAGTTTTTTCTTTTTCGAATTTTTTATTATTTATTTATTTATTTTTCTTTTTTTAGATTGTATTTGAATGTCTGTTATAATTATAAAATAATTATTCATATATATATAATTTGGGATTTTATTTAAATAGATTATATTCTATGAAAATAATTATAGAAAATGATAAGAATTTCATAAATTAATGTTTGATTTGTAAGAGTGTTACCTATATAAATCTTTCACATTTTTGTCTAAATAGTATAGATTAATATTTGATAATGAAAAGTTGAGGGGTATGATATTTGTTGAATGTTTTTAATGTATATTCATGTACTCTACTAAAATAAGTTTTGCATGCAATTCGAGTAAATATGAATATAAATATAAGTAAAAGAAATGAAATTTATTTATAATTCTTATTTATTTTTCTATTTAAAATGCTTTGTATAAATCTATTTGCAGTTATATATATATTTAAAATGCTATATAAATGCTTTGTATAGTTTTGTGAGGTTTTAGCCATTTCATTTTTTTAATTGAGTGGTATTCTTTCTTTTTAATAATTTGTTTTTAAAATTACTTACTATTTTGTTTCAGTTAAAATAACAAGAGTCAACTTATTATTTTTTTAAAATAGCATTTATATTATTAAATTTTAGAAATAAAACTTTAAAATGCAGTTAATGGGAGTAACTTATTGTTGCATACCATTAACTGTTTGAATTAGACATTTACCCGTAAATTTAAGAAAATTAAATGCTACAATTAACGTACAAATAAATAAATTCAAAACTTGTAGCTTCTTGAGCGTTTCATTTAATACATTTATTGCTTTAAAAACCCATTAACTTCTATAGTTATTAAAAATACTTAAATGTGGAGAATATTTAGTTTTCTATAGAGAAATAAAAGCAACTTTACAGGCAATTCTGTTTAAATAAAATAAGACAGTGAATAACTCTATTAAATATTTGATATAACTCTAAATTCAGGATTAAAACTGGAGATCATTATTTAATATAAAATATTTTTTAGTTGATTTGTATATTTAAATGTCTTTGTTAAGAATTGTATCATTTTTAGGAATCCTAAATACGTTAAATTATAATTGTTTTTTTTTTAATTTTAAAACATTTTATCTGGATAAGAGAATTCAAATAAATTTTAATTTTTTTATTTTAATAAATTATGCATGTTATCGCCAAATAGAATATTACTTAATACGAAAATCCACCAAAATATTATTAGCTGTAAAGCTGTCAAAACGGGTCATCCGGTTCGACCCACAACGGGTTGGTCACTTAGTGAGTCAAATTAATCCGGCTTGACTCATCACGGGTTGGCTCACTGGCTCACTTAATTACAATTTTTTTTAATAAAAAAAATTTACAAACTTTCTATAATTCAAATCTAAACAAATTCCACTCTGAAATTTTACTCCCAACAACATGTGTGTTTAATTAATTTCGAAAATAAGAAATTCAAATAATTTTTTCAAGCAAAAAAAAAATAAAATATTTTTTTATAGATTAAAATTAAATTTTAATAAAATAAAATTAGGTAGGTAGATTGGTGAGACCCGATCCACCACAGACTCAACCCGCATGAGCCAGGTTTAAATGAGTCGGGTTGAAATCTGACCCACATAAAAAAAGATATAATTTTTTCAAACTTAATCCGGTTCGAACCCGTGGTGAACCGGATTGATTGTGACCTATTTTGACAGCTGTAATTAGCTGAGATGACAGAGAATGTATACACTTCAACTTCGAAGAAATTTGACATATATTTCTTAAAAAAAAATATTTTAGCTGTAGTCTTAAAAGAAAAAAATGAACAACTGTTAACGGAAATACTTTTAATCATTTCAATCGAAAAATAAGTTATGGTAACTAAAAAATAACTGTTAATTTATGTTGATAAGAAAATTGCACATTATTATGGTCAAAATTCTAATCGGTATTAGTAGAAAATCACATCAGAAATTAAAAAAAAAAAGATAAAATTTGATAAAATAGATTTTATTATACATAGCTTATAGAACACTGATTAAAAAATTAGAAATATTTGGAAATAGTATAAATATGCATTAAAAAAAATAATGAAAGAAGATATTTCTTGACAAATTAATAAAAAGCCTCTATAATTTATTTGCCAACTAAGTGTTTATCATTAACACTTTGGACCACCTTAATTATGTGTGATTGTTTAAAGTAAATATGGGTGAAACATAATTTTGGCCTACAGTTTTCAGTGTAATCAATTTTACCTTTTCGTTTTCTTCTGAGGGAAAGGCTTACCAAAGTTATATAATAATGGAGTTCCTAACAAAAAAAATTAAATTTGGATACATAGTACAATAAATTTAGTTCAATTATTTTTTTAAATTATTAATTATTTAAATATGTGTTTGGTATTTAATAATTACCACTTGCGCATTTGGAAGAAAAACTAACATTAATATATTATTAATTTTTATCTTCTGTTTTTTTATAAATTTAAATTTCTATTTTAATTTTTTTCAACACTACAGATTTATATTATTTTTATTTTATACATTTTTCTTAGCTAAATCGGTTTGCATATTTTTAAGGAAAGAACACTAATATAGTATCATCTCTGGAGTAAGGACTATAATTTATTAATTGAATTAAAAAATCAATACTACATAAATGGGAACCTTAATATAATTAAAAATTTAGTTAATGTAAGAGTAATTGCAGTATAAAATAATCAAAACATTTGGATAAAGTAATAAAAAGAATGTAAAGAAAGAACCGTTACAAAAGGGTAACAGATTAATATTTCTTATTTGATGTGACGTAAATATATAAATTAAAGCATTTTTTTAAATAAGGAATAAAAGTAAAAATAAGATGAATACATTTGTGAATGAAAACAATAACTGCCAGTGATAGGGTGGTGAATAAAAGAAGCAGTGGTGCAGTGAGATGAGAGCGCGAACAAAAGCTGGACTCCTACAAGAAACAAACAAAGACAGTGGTTTGCACTTTTTACAGAGACGAATCAATCACGTTAGGCCAACACCGGAATTTCACCAGCCAATTTCTGACGTGTAGACAACCAATAACCATTTTCCTCATTCGCAATCATCGATTTGCGAATTCCGTTTCGTTCTTCCATGGCGCTGCGAAACGGCAGCAGAAAAATTTCCTTCGAGGTTCTCAGCATCGATGGCGAATCGGAATCAAACGAACACAGCCGCAGGAAACGCAGGCATCGCGCCTCCAAGCGCAAGAAGAAGCTTCTTGATCGCGCGGATTCCGTCGATCCGCATATAGAGCCTCTGGAAAACGGAGGAGCCTGCAACGGATTCGAGCTGGACGCTAATAGGTATAGCGCTGGCGGAGGGAGCGTCGTTTACGAGGAGGTGCGAGAGGCGAGTGTGTGCGCGGTTGTGGATGCGCGTGAGGCGGAGAGTGAGGCACCGACGGCGGTGCGCGGTGGCATCGAGGGGTTTAATTTTGGGAAATTGAGGCAGAGGAACGTGAGTTGTGGGAGTTCCGATGAGTTTCCGACTTCGGTGGTGCGCGATGAGAAGGAGGAGGGTGGTGTGAATGCGAGTCCAGTGGAGAAACCGACGAACGAGCCTGATAGGAATGTGGCTACAAAATTGGAGACCGTGGAGTCGTTGGACTGGAAGCGTCTCATGGAGGAAGATCCGAATTGTGAGTGGTACAATGGGCCTTACAGTGCATGCATCATATTGTATCTCATGATTATAATTGCAATGATTTTTCGAAAAATTGACCCTACAAAAAATGCTAACAAATGTGTTGCAACAAAATTATGCATGGACTTCGAAGGGGAAATGACTAGAAAAATAGACGCGGGGTTGGTTATGTGTCCCCCACTTGCTATGGAATTGGTGGCATGGCTAATTGGATACTGCAAACTTTGACTGAATAATACATACATCTAGGTTTTAAGTTAGGTTTTTGCTGTAAACACTGACGTATTTTCTGCCAAATTAATCTTGTGGTGGTGTGTTTTGTTGTCAGACGTATTTTCAGTGGAAAAGTCTCCTGTAACGTACTTTTTGGAGGAAATGTACAATGGAAATTCCTTACGGAGCACAACAACTCTTGGGAATGAAAAAGAACGAGAAAGAGTTTATGATACTATCTTCCGCCTGCCCTGGAGATGTGAATTGGTATAGTTCCTTTCTTTATCAAAAAGTACTAAGAAATAATAAGAACTCTGGTTATAGTTTTGTGATGTTATCTATGGATATGTACTCCTGGTTGAGCTGCTTGTATTTACTTTCAAAATAACCGTATAAGTTCATAGGTTTATGGGGAAAGTAAAGTAAAACTAAACCTTCCACCTAATTTATAGTAGACACCTATAGTTGTATTTTTTATTGAGGCATTCTACATTTGTTTTGTATCTTGAACGTGGAACGCAATTGCAGCTTATAGATGTTGGCTTCTTTGTCTGCTTCGATTCATTTCTTTCATTATTAACTGTTATGCCAGCAAGGATCACGATGGCCATCTGGAGGATTCTAAAGACAAGGTTAGCCACGTTTCCTTAATTTTTTCCCTTGTAATAAAATTTTAGTCGGCAATGCATGTGGGGAATAAAGTGATAGATTAATCTTACAACACTTGTTTCCTTAGTTTAGATTAGTGATGTAAGTACAGAGCAGTGCACATCTAGTACTACAATCTTAGAGTGCTTCAAATATCGTCAAAAATCTTTGAATTCCAGAACAAACTTCCAAATTACCAGTAAGTTCAGCTGACACTCTGTGATAGAGGTCTTAGTTGCTAATTTGCATCTGGGTTCTGTTAGTCCCTGATTCAAACTTAGCTGAATAAGTTTGACCAATCTCTCCCTAATACAGAGTTTGCATCTTCTTGTGCTTTGACTTTTTGTTATCCTTTTTAGTTCAACTCATGTTTTAAAATTTGTGCATGTATATCATGGTTTATAGTATTACATGTGGACTAATCAATGCGTATGACAGGCAGTTCAAGAGGCTATCAACAATGGAAATTTCAGATTTTGGATGTTTTCTCATTATGACCTGTGGAGTGGTTCTTTTGCAACGAACAGGCAAAGTGGTTTTCTCATTTCTTTTTTGTATTGTTCAAGTTTAATAGTATGCTAATTGTGTTTTATTCGTCTTTTCAAATGTGCTGCAACAGATATCAGCTTAATATATCATATGATCCGTGGTCAAGGAACAATAAAGTTATATGTGGTCTACAATGTTTTAGAGGTGAGCATAAATTTATTAGTCTGGATCATGGTGAATAATTAGCTGTCCAAACTGTCAGATATCAACCAACGTGAATATTTATGTGTTGTTGAGTTTAATTTTTATTCATTATTAGGATATAATTTTTAGACTATAAACTGATTGAAACCACCCTAGATAGGATATGACCTTTACAGTAATTGTTTCTGAAGTAAATAATTTTTTACCCTATGCAGAAATTCATGATTGGATGAAAGTATAAAAGTCTCGGTGCATTCTAATAAAATTTTATTTATAGGGTTTATGCAAGCAAGATCTTGTGGTGACAAAGTAAAGGAATTTCAAAGAATATGGAATGATAAAATTTTGGTTTGTAATTAATTTGTGAACCGTGAAACTCTGACATAAGATGAGATAAAATATTGCTGTATTTGGAAATTTTTACTATCTCCTTAAATAGCAGAAATGTATTGGGCTAGAGGAGATAATGAAAATGTGATGAAAGAAGTAGGATGAATGTTGTGTAAATGATATTGTAATAGCTTTTCGAAACATGCATATGGGTATTCAGTAGCCTTCTGGTATTTAAACATAATATTGTATCCTTTTGCTTTTAGTTTCCGATTGAATGCAAAAGTGTTGTGACTCATAATGCTCAAAATGTTACTTATACTGTTAATTTGTGACTGATCTTCCAACTTGCAGATATTTGATAAACTATGTCAAAGTTTTAATGGGGATGTGTTGCAAACGTTATTTCTTTCTGCTGAAGGACTTGCGAATTGTCCCCAAGAAAGCATTCGATTCTGGATTTGGAGATTTGTTTCTGACCAAGCTTTAGCTGTGGTTGCTTCAAATATCCTTCATTTTTGTATTTTTTCCCCATTTGTTTGATTACCTTTTATCTTCTGCGAAGGCAAATTAAGAAATAACAAAGTCGGTGATTTGATTCCTTGACTAGTCTTACTTGTTCATTCTTTTATCTTATTAGCTCAGGCAATCACTTTATCAACATGTATAGTTGCTCACAACAATGCTCTGTTGGCATTGCTGGTGTCAAATAATTTTGCTGAGATCAAAAGTAATGTGTTCAAGCGATACAGCATGGATAATGTTCACAGTTTAGTTTACTTTGGTATGTTATCATTCTCATAATGGGGTTTTTCTTTTCTGGATTCCTGCTTACTTGGTATGCGGTTATATACTCCTTCATTCAAATGTGGAAGAAGCCCTGGATGGTCTCATTTTCAGAATATTATTTGTGCTAGTTTTGACATTAGTTGATTTGTTTAGGGTTATATGCCGTAAAATTGTTTTGATGTTTGAATTTTAAAGTGAGTGCCTTTTATTTTGAATGGGAATATCTCAATCTATAGGGTGTACGTGTATCCCTTTTATGCCTTCTTTGGCATCTTACCCCTGTTGCCACATAATTATGTTAAGGAAAAAGCTTTTTGCTTTTAGTGGATTGATTCAGTTGATATGGATATATTATTATTCAGAACAATAATGCAATGTCTTTTGCATTGACATGAAAATTTATACACAGTGATTAACTTTAATTTTAGGATAAATGTGTTGGTCCATATATTTTTTCCCAAACCTGGTTTTAGTCTATGCACTCTCAAATCAATGAATTTGTCCTCTATCTTTTAAGAATATGCCTTGATACTTTAATTTAGTATTTAGAGGGTGGTTGCTGTTTACAGCCCCAAAGTTGGAAGAGAGATTAAATTTACATTTTTCTGAATTTTGAGGAATAATTGATATATATGAAAGTATAGGGATCAAACCAAGTTTGTCCAAAAGCACATTGACTAAAGACACATTTTCCCTTTTACTTTGCTCCATATAATTTATACTTGAGGTATATGGAATAGTTTGCTAGTATCTAGCGGTTAGGGAATTATGGAAATGCCTTTTAAGTCTTTTGCACAATAAACAGTTAGTTGTGAAACCCATGCACCCAACATGGTATATTCATAAACTTGTTTGTCTGTCTTTTGAGTTCTTTTTAGTTTGAATTTAGACAAGGATTAGCATTTGGTACACTAGCTCCATATTCAAATGTTTACATTAGCAGGTTTAATCATACTTGGGAAAAATGTATGGATTTTCTTTAAAATGTAATATGACAAACCCTTTTTTGAATTATAGAAATTCAATTATACTATTAAAATCCATAACCTTAAGGCATCCTATTGGTTACTTAAAATTATAATAGATATATAGCTATAAAAATCTTGTCTCAGTAACTTACACCCATCAACCTCAATTTTTTTCCGCTCTAGTGTTCCTTTTCAATTTCTGCAATAGCAATGTCTATGTTAGGAAGTTAGAAGTACATGAGAGGAGGAATAAAAGAGGAGGGAATTAAAACTAATACCAAACGGTAAGGCAGGGGGAAGTGAGGCCGAACGGTGCATGAGAGGAGAAGTCGAACGGTAAGGCAAGGGGAAAGTGAGGCCGAACAGAAAGACAGGGGGAAGCGAGGCCGAGTGTAAGAGAAGAGAAGCCGAACGGTAAGGCAGTGGGAAGTGAGGCCGAACGGTAGAGGCTGACTGTTTTACCAATTAGGAAGAGGTGCGAGAATGAGATACTATAAATAGTACTGTAACTCTATTGAGGAGATTATTTTCTTTTGAGTATAGATTGAACATATTTTCTAGTGGAGGAAGGTAGGCTTCCTTGGGAGGAGTATACTTGTATTTTTAATACTTTACTGAATCAATAATACATACATACTTACTTTCAATTCTGATGTTAGTGTGAATTGAGAAGAGAGTATAGATTAGGTTATTTGCATAAAGTAACCTAACAGTCTATGATTATTTTTTTTTGTTATTTTATGGGGATTTGATCTCCTTTATACATTAAAAGTGATATAATTTGTATGTAGGTTTTGCCATTTATTTACTGTTTGGTGGGCGGTGAGGAGAGGAGATGGATTTTAATAAAAGCTTATGTTTGGTTCAGAAGTTTGGAGAGAAGGGAAGTGAAAATGAAAGGAAAAAACATCACCAATTTTTTTCGCCTGTTAACCCCACCCTCTGGACCAAATGGCTCGTTAGTATACATTTTTTTAACGTTGTGTTAGTGTAAATTTCTATACAATGTATGTATATTATCTTAGCTGCGTAAAATTCTTTATCCAATTCCTTTTTACTGAAATGAGCAAGAGTAAAAATATTTGTTCTGCATTTGACAATTGCATTATTTAAAACTTCTTTTTTCTCATTTTCCTGCAAACTCTTACTGTATTTTATTTCCTCCATTTACTTATGATGCCAAGCAGATTCCGTAGAGAGATTCCACATTTCATCATTTATCTTATTCGTCTTGGCTCAAAATATTCTGGAGGCAGAGGGTCCCTGGTTTCAAAGTTTTCTTATTGTAAGTTTGGAAATATTTTACCTCATAATATTAATGAAGGATGTTTCGTTAATCCCGTTCCTGACTCATATTTTGGATGGTGCAGAATATCCTCTTGGTTTATGTATGTGAAATGGTTATTGATATTATCAAGCATTCATTCATTGCTAAATTCAATGACATTAAGCCCATCGCATACTCCGAGTTCCTCGAAGACCTATGTAAACAGGTATTCTGATTTCATTTTTGTGGACATTATCTATACAGTATGCTGGTTGTTTACTGCTAGGGTGTAAAAAACTGGAACCACTTTGATAACAAATTGTTATATTTTCATTCAAATCTCAACTTAAAGCTGAAAACTTGAGTGAATTTATGAGCAACACAATTGAGTGCACGAAGACTCTCCATGATTCTACCATAAATGCCTTTCGAAATCCTTTGCTGGAAGATATGCTTTGATGGGAAAAGGTAGTTACGCTATTTTGTTACAGCAATATAGTTCACTTTCTCTAAAACAAATTTGGTCTTCACCTAATACTTGAGAGAGCTACTTATTACTTCGATAGAGTGATGTATAACTTTAAGTCATATTATGACAATCAAATTGCATTAACATTTTGTTCCTGTTCATTGATGGAGCTTCTTTCCAAAGAATATACTCCTGACATTTGACTGCTCCATTTTGTAGACTCTAAATATGCAAACTGAGGGCGCAAAGAAAAACCTGACTTTTGTTCCCCTAGCCCCAGCATGCGTGGTAAGCATACGATTTTAAATGTCCATATGGTTTTTCTGTTTTTTAGTTTACCGATTCATCATCTGTGCACTTTTTCCTTTTATAACTGGTTCTTAGGTTATACGAGTTCTGACTCCAGTATATTCTGCAAACCTTCCTAACAATCCCCTTCCATGGAGGCTTTTCTGGATTCTGCTTTTTTCAGCAATGACCTATGTTATGCTTACAAGCCTTAAGCTCCTCATTGGCATTGGCTTACACCAGCATGCCACTTGGTATGTTAATCGCTGCAGAAGGAGGAAACATCATTTTCATGAAGATTAGTTTGGAAGGGAAACAATACTGCTGTATTGAGTCAACATGATCTGTTTGCCCAAGCATTCCTCCACTCAGCCCGAAGAACATTTTCTGAAAGATCACACAGGGAGATAACATTCAGGATTACTTGACTCCGAATTATCATTGGTGCGTGGCACAAACGAGAACAACTTTGGTTTATATCTGGAAGTTGTACTTTTGGTTTATAGGTTGAAGGTGACCCATAGATGGTTTCCCTTTTCAATTTTGACAGCAAGTTATAGATTGAGTATTACAGAGTAATAATAAAGTGTTATATATAGGCTTGCATAATTTCAATGAAATGTAATCACCTCCACTCAAATTTTGGCCAACTCAATAAAAACAATAGCACATCTTTTTGACCTCTTTCGAAATTTATTATCGGAACTATTGAAAAATATATGAGCAACCTACCATTTTAATTCTTGTTTGTATGTTCATTAGATTCTGAACTAAATAAAATTTAGATAAATCTCTGAAAGGATATTGATCAAATTAGTCCACATTTTGAAAGAAAATTGTTACTTGAATTATATGTTTAGTTATTTTGTTAGCTTTAGGGCTAATGTGCAAACATTTATGGAAATAGTTGGTTAAGCCACATAGAGAACATGGTTTGTGTTCAATTAGTATATTAGAAGAAATAGCATCAATGTTATATATGTTTACTAATGTTCAAAAAATAATTGTTTAAGTCAAAAGTAGTTTTAGGAATGAATATTTGGTTAAACTATGAGTGACTTGTGAAAAGAATACTTGTTCAAGCAATAAGTGACATATGGAAAGAATATTTAGCTAACCAAGGGGTGTCTTGTGAAACGAATAGTTGGTTAAGCTAAAATTGATTGAGAGTCGAAACAATATGCAAAAAATTAATGAGTGGTTGAGAGCTGAAACAATACACAAAGAATCAACAAGACATTAGTCTACTTAGTGATATCCAGTTTGTCGTTTTAGAACTGTTATCTGGTCAGACGAACTAGTATAAAGAACAACTTGTGCATTTCTCTTTTTCCTTATACATGTACACCACACTTCATTATTTACTCAAAGGGTTAGTCATGGCTTAGTCAAGAATATCTATAAGCCCAAAAATTAACAAACATTAGTCTACTTAGTGAAATTCAGTTTGTCGTTTCAGAACTATGTCACCTGGTTAGACGAACTAGTACAAAGAACAACTTGTGCATTTCTTTTTTTCCTTATACATGTACACCACACTTCATTATTATCTACAGTAACTTAGAAATTAGGGTTATTGTGAGAATGTGAGAATACATGTATAAAATTGCTTTAAACAAGTAAATCAATCAAGTCCTAAAGTTTAACTCCTTTAGACACAATAGTCACTACTTTATTACTTGTAAAACAAAACTATTGTCTAGATATTCATCATGAGACAATACTTGAGAAATATATCCTGGTATGTTTTTTGTGTTGTGCATACTGGTTTTGATATATGTAGGTTTGCTTCTATGACATAGGATGTTACAAAAATAGAATATTTTTTTTTAAAATACAAACTTTAGACAACAGTAATGACCAAAATCAAGGCAGAAAATGGTCTATGGTCCCGGTTCTGGTTACAACCGAAGCCAAAGAACCAAAAATTAAATAAATATTTTAATTAAAATTAGACCTATCACTACTGCAGCCAAGAAATACTACAACGATTATTTTTTGAGTTATGACACCGGTTTCATAACCAAGACATTAAGACAAGGTAAAAAAGGGAGGATTTTGGCCTCAGTTCAGAACTGGAGCCAAAAGTTGAAGATTCTACTTTGATTATAAGAAAACCAAAGCAGTAAACTAAAAGAAAGTAAAAAAAAAGAAAATAATTTTGGGTTTATTGTAGTGGTTCCAATAACAACCACTGCTCTATTAGATTTTAAATAATTATTTAATTTTCAGGCTCTATGGTAGTAGTTATTTAGTTTATTGAACATATAAATTTTAAACAATATATCTAAAATTTTGTCAATATTTCGCCTTGATCTTCCGGTTACATGAATGAAGTGATTAAAAATTATATAAAATATGCACCAAAAGATCAATACAAAACTCATTTACAAAATATTCATGAATTTTAAGATATGTATATTAAAATTTATATACATTAATAAACTATGAAAAAGTGATTACTCTTCTTAAACTCTCCAAGTGAAAATTTCAAGATTTAATGCTATAAATTATAATTGTTTTCTCCTCTTATATTCATTTTTAAAACATACATTTCTTTAACAAACTTAAAGACAATAAATAATTTTTTATTGAATCTCAAATCGGAAATTAAGACTGATTCAATACAATAATATATTTTAGCATGCAATTAATCACATATGAAACACACAAAAATTTAATAACCTACTGCAACATTATAAAAAAAATTAGATGCTCATATTACAAAATAAATTTAAGACCAAAAATAGGAACCTAGGTGCAAATGAGGCAGACAACAATGAAGAACGCTACAACTACTCGCATTTTGGAATGCACCAAAAGCTCACCATAAAAAACAATAATAGGATACAAATACAAAAAAAATTATTAGTCTGAAGAACAAAAAGTAACTTAAAAAAAACGCCCAAAAAAGCCAAAGAACAAAGGAACCAAAGTTCACCTCAGAGAAACGAACAAACGAATGAAAGATCACTAAAGAGGAGTTCAGACCACGTCAATGGAGGCAATGACAACGGCGTTGGAGGCAATGACCATGACGTTCAGAGTCAATGGAGCAATATTAGCAAAGAGGAGGCCATATACTACATATTGTTTCGGTCATTAAAATAACTGAGACAATATGTCTTCGTACTGGTAAAAAAAGTGCAAATTCACATAATCCTTTACAATTTCTTTTAGGCCTCGATTCTACTAAGAATTGATGCCAAAAAAATCTTCAAATATTTAAAAATTAAAAGTTTTGAAACCATTTATGGCTTTTGGCTCATACCTTTTGGCTTCAGTTCTTTGTAAAATCGAAACAAAAGGGATCTATGACATCGGTTTTCTGAACAACCGAGGTCATAGGATGACTTTAAAATTTTAACCGTCTGAAGTTCCTTTTGCTGGGTGCAAAGTCAGAATCTTGTGACCACAGTTCTCCAAAGAACCAAGGCCATAGACTTGTTCAAAATTTGAAAAGTTTGACATATCTCTTTATAGGGGAATGTCAGGACCCTATGACACTAGTTTTGAGGAGAACCGAGGCCATAGATCCAGACCAGTGTGTATTGAGTAGAAAAGTTTAAATTTGTGCTTATGTGTCCCACCTTTAGGCTTTAGTTGTTTATTAACCAATGCCAAAAACAAAATATGACTTCAGTTGTTTTCTAACCGAGGCCTATATGTTTGCAAAAATTAAAAAAATACCACCATGTCTTTTTATGCTTTGTTTTTGTCAAAACTGAATTGTAATAGGCAAGTTATAAGTCATATTTTGTACTAGTGTATGATAGTGATTGACAAGATAATCGAAGCAAAAAAGACTTTTGACAACGATTTTGGAAAGAATTATAATACTGTAGACTCTACCAGATTTTAAATAATTATTTTAATTTTAAAAAGTTATGATAGTAGTTCCTACTAGAATTGCTGCCGTATCTCCTTAAAATTAAATAATTAAAATCTGATAGGGTCTATGGTCTCGGTTCCCTTTAGAACTGTTGCCAACAACCGTTGTTATATTCGTGCACTGCACTAATAATGATATCAAATAAAATATATCTTAGTAAAATTTGTTGTTTATTAAATTTTTATTTATTTACGAGTGGATCATCCATTAATGTTTAGTTCACATAATAATACAAATTAAACAAAACTTTATTGAATAATTGAAATAGAAAAAAGATAAAGCAAATAAATATGTCATGTGCGAAATCTAAAAACAAATATCTAACATCATTTTATAATATTTTTTAAAATACCTAAATAAGTAAATTAAAAAGATACACCATTTAAAAATAAATGTTATTTCTTGAACTATGGTATATTATGAAATACTATGACCACTTACAACGCATGTGGTGAATTATATATATACTCTTTGTTTCCATTTAATGTGTTATTATTTGCTCCACTTACAACGCATGTGGTCAATCCATTGAACTATGGTATATTATGAAACACTATAGCCATAACAATTGATGTGGTCAATCCATTAGATTGTGGCCCAAAACTAAAATGATTGTAGTAGTTATTTTATTTCGTTTAATGTGTTATTATTTCCTCCATAATATATATATATATATATACTTCACACAACACAGTCAATCATCCCCGAACTCCCTCCAAACTCTTCTTTTTTTATTTATTCCACAATAACCCACCCGTTTTCATCACCCCTCCCTTCAGACCCTTTAAACACAGTCATGTTTTTCCTTCCTTTCACACTCTTCCACCTTTGCCGCTTCCTTTGCTTCCTCCGCCCCCCCCCGCCGTCCCTCCCCGCCGTCCCCCCCCCGCCCCTCCTTTTGGGTTTTCTTGTCTTGGTTCCCCTCCCCCCCCCTCTGCTCTCTTTTTTCGCTTTTCCCTCCTTCTTTCCTTTTCCTGGCTCTCTGGTCCGTATTTCTTTCTTTTCTTGCCCTCTCTTTTTCCCCCCTTCTCTCCCCTTTTTTCCCTCTTTCTCCTTTCTCTTCCGGTTACCCTTCATGAAGATGATTACAAAAATTATATAAAATAGCACCACAAGATCACATATCAAAACTCATTTACAAAAGATTCATGAATTTACGATATGTATATTAAAATTTATATACATTAATACCACTATGACAAAAGTATTCTCTTCTTAAACTCTCCAAGTGAAATTTCACAGATTTAATGCTATAAATTATAATTGTTTTCTCCTCTCTATATTCATTTTTAAAACAGACATTTCTTTAAACAAACAATTAACAGACAATAAATAATTTGTATATTGAATCTCAAATCGGAAATTAAGAACTGATTCAATACATATATATATTTGTAGCATGCAATAATCACATATCAACACCACCCAAAAATTTAATAACCTCTGCAACGATATAAAAACAAAATTAAATGAATCACACATC